TCAAGCTTGTCTATTATTTATGGCGAGAGTTCTTACAAAAAAGTTGAAATTTCTGCTAAGGATAGCGTTTGAAGCTGCATTCGATGGCCTACATTCATATTGATCCTATTTCTCAATATTTACAGGTTTTGAGCGGCATTTATTAAAACCACTCAAATCAGAAAGAATACCTTAATTTTTCAGAAATGGATGGGGAAAAACGTAAGGAAAACTAATATTACCATGATGAAGAGATTTCGCGCTTGAATGAGATCTTTTAGGAGGCAGAAAAGGTGAAAACTACTTCTCATGTCATCTACATGAATTCTTCATACAGTACTTGTTTTAGCTCATCTTAATAATAGATAGATAAGTATAAATCGTCAGCTAATCTTAATAGTCGAATGGGCATGAAACATGCATTTAATGCACCCTGCAAGCTATTTCAGAGCAATTTTGAAATTCATTCCATTGCCATGCTGTTCGGCGCACCTATCCCTTTTTTGTTAAGAAACTTAGAAAAAATATGTTGTGTTTTCGAAGAGATTGAGTCAAGCTATGACTGATTTTTCTGTTTTAGCGGCCTCAATACTAAGCTTTTCCCAAATATTAATGCCATTAAAAGGTATTTTAGGATAAACCAAAGCAACAGGGCTCTACCTGTTAAGAATTTCTTGTTTTTTCTGCAGGTATAAGTTTTATGCCGTTTAAACTTAATCTTAAAGCTCAATAACGTCAGAATATTCCTTGCTAACACTAAGACCGATAGCGTTTTCTTGGTTGCCGATTTTTCATCATTCGAAATGTATTCGAAGCTGAAATAGCAATTTGTTTGGATTCAAAATAAGTTGAGAAATGTGGTAAAGTCGTAGAAGACAAGGGAAAAGATGGTAAAGAATGAAGAACTTAGGTTTTGTTTTACTGATATTCACAAATTGTTAGCTGAAAAGGTCTCATTACTTTTAAAACATTTTATTGTCAAAAGACTAGCTAACAAATAAGGAGAATATAAGTATTGAATAAGAAGAAGACCTAATATCCAGTCGAGCTTAAAGTTCGAATATTTGTACTTTCTTTTGATGTGCCTTGGTGTGAAAAGTATCATCAATCTTTGATGTCACTGAAAATATGTCAATAGTTGATTCTTTTTGAAGACTTTTCATTTAGAGGAAAATTTTGCTTTATAGTTTATTTGAAAAAGATAAAATGTTGTAAGCATAGATATGCGGAGGAAATTCTGCAAGAGGGTTTTCCTTT